GAGGCGGAAAGGATCACCAGAGCCCAGCAGTTCGAGGCTGTGGTGGCCGGGAGCGGCCACTGCACTCCAGTCTGGGTGACAGTGTGACTCCAACTCAAAAAAAGAAAAAAAAGAAAGGCCAGAGGCGGGTTACGGGGGGATGCTCCACTGCCCTTGCAGATGGACCATCTGGGGAACTGGTGGGACCCACTCCATGACTCCCCTGGGGCTGACAGCAGCAGACTGAGGGCTCTCTAAGCCTGGTGAGTAGAGCAGCAGGGGTGGTGAGAGCACTTGTGGGCTGGAAGCCGGGAGGCTGATGTACAAGGCTTTAGACAATGGGCAGCAGCGGCCAGAGGAGGAGGGGAGGACTGGGATACAGGGATGTGGCGCGCAGAGCCAGATGTGGCTTGCCCTTTCCTGCCTGCCCGCTCCCCACGGCTCCCGCCCCAGCTCACCATGCTGATGGCGTCCACGGAGTCCCGCTGTGCCACAGCCCACACACCCAAGGCCAGGATGGTGAAGTTGGCCCAGGCGTAGGAGTTCGAGAACTGGAAGCAGCCCCTGCAGGAAGAGCCACCTAGGTCCCATTGGGCAGCCACCACCCCAAAGGGTACCCCCTCCCATGCCAGGGTCTCAAGGCCTCCTCTAAGAACAGGCCATGGTCCACGAGGCTGACCAGCTGAGCGCCAGCAATGTCAGCAAGTCCTTCTGGCTCTACCTCCCACCCCGATCCTCGGTCTGGCCACAGCCCCGCAGGTCCCAAACACCACCCTCTCCTGCCGGGATGACAGCCACGGGCCCCCACCCTGGTTCCTGGCTGCCACGCTGTTCTCTGCTTGGCGATCAGTAATGTCATCAGACACCCTTGCTCCTCTGCAAAAATCCTCCAGCGGTTTTCTGTCCCATTTGGAATAAAATACAGACTCTTCACCACGGCCCGAGGATCCCGTGGGGTCCCCGGGCCCAGTCCCGCCCTTATGCCCTCCCAGGCACTGCCAGTGCTGCTCCCTGTACCCTGAACATTCTGCTCCTTTTAGTCACTTGGTGTCAGCTTGAATGTTCAGCCACCAACATGAGGAACCGCCCTGACACTTTCCTAACACAAGGCCCGTCCTATTCTATTCCTCAGGATACTGCTACTAACTGACATTGCTGACTGACTTGCATGTCAATCCAATGAAAATCACAGTTTACGCTTAGAGAGCACCTGCTAGTATCTGGCACGGCTCCAAGTGCTTAAAATCAACTCATTTATGTGCATTTGTGTTACCACCTCCAGGAGGCAGGCACTATTATTACCCTGATTTTAAAGACAGGGAAACTGAGGCACAGAGAGGATAAGTAACTAGCCTAAGACAACACAGCTGCAAAGCAGTGGGGCTGGGAACTGAACAGTCTGACTGAAGAGGCCACATCTTTCCCATCCTGCCTCACTGCATAGAAGGACTTAGGGGGACAGGGAGCTTGTCTACCTCATTTCCATGACACCCACTGGGCCTTGACTGTCCTAGTACACAGCGGGGCACCGCATAAATTTAAGTGACATTTTCCAAGTGTCATGAGCAGAAAACATGAGCATAGCAGTTAGGTGTGGAGCGTGGAGGTTCAACAGGTCTTCGAGTAAATGATCTCATCTTCTGTTTTGAGACTGCAGTGCCTGGGTCCAGCTCAGAAACCTGGTATGTGACTGAGACCTCTGCATTCTGGCCCAGCCACCCAAGCTTGTGAACCACAATGAACACTGCTCACATGACTCGCACTAGTTTCCACATGCACTGCCCTTCAAAGTCTGTAAAATGCACACGTGAGCTCAATGGTTTGCAATTGTGGTTTGGCAGAGGAACCTCCCCAGAAGTTCACTGACAGAGATGGTGAAAGGATGAAACGCCAAAAATGGAGTAACCTTTGCTAAAGTACAGCCATTTTAACACTTTTCTTTTTTTTTTTTTGAATTGGAGTCTCACTCTGTTGCCCAGACTGGAGTGCAGTGGCCGCGCCCGGCCACCGCAGCCTCGCCCACTGGGTTCCAGCGATCCTTCTGCCTCAACCTTCCCAGAAACCGGAATTACACGCATGCGCTTCCTGCCCGGCTGATTTTTTGGAATACATGGAAAAATCTGTCTTCGAGATTGACAACTACAATTTTTCTCACATAATTCCTGAATGTTTTATTCTGCCTAAATT